TTGGCATGATTTGAGCCACTTTTCAGTTCAGTAACATGATAGAAAATTATTATATCATAATAGTACCTTAATTAAATGAATTAAAGATCCTCTGAGGTCTAAGTTGTTGTGATGACCCCAAACCAAAGTCTAAACAGTCAGAATATGTAATTTTGGTTCTTCATACATTGTTCTCCCAATTCTAGACAATCAGAAAACAACACATTTAAAACTTTGAAAACTTTTGTTTTGGCCTTACATGTGGTCAGGGTTACCAAAATGTAACTGTATAAATCATACCTGTTAAAATACAAGCAGATGTTATGGATAAACTAAAACCACTGCTTAATGTTGCAGGCTGTGCCTGCCACGTGTTACTGTATGAGGAAATGTATGATGAGTTGATCTCAGCGCTGCACAAAAATAGAAAGGCAAAAAAAACCATACACTCACGAGCAACTTTGTTATGTACACCATACTAGTACTGAGTTAAACCGAGTTTGATGGAAAAAAGATACTAGTAAGAATTTTCAGAGATTTCTCTTCACAATGATACAACAACATCACAGAGTTGCTGCAGATCAGCTGCACATCTATGATGTTCTAACACATCCCAAAGCTGCTGGATTAAGATCTGGTGACTGTGGAGGCCATGTGAGTACCGTGATCTCATTGTCATTCAAGAAAACACCTGAGATGATCTGAGCTTTGTGACATGGTGTGCTATCCTGCTGGAAGCAGCCATCAGTGATAGATACACAGTGTCATAATAGGATGGACATGTTAAGCAACAATACTCAGGTAGGCTTGGGTGTTTAAATGGTGCTCTGGTGGTTTTAAGGGAAAAATCGCCCACGCCATTAAACCACCAGCAGCCTGAACAATTGATACAACACAGGATGCATTCTTATGTTCATGTTTACGCCAATTCCTGATGCTACTAGTCAAAGGGTCCAGCAGAAATTAGAACCCATTGAACCAGCCTCAGTTTCCTGTCCTTAGCTGACAGGAGTGGCACCTAGTGTGGTCTTCTGCTGCTGTAGCCCATCCAGAGATGCTCTTCTGCAGACCTGGGCTGTAACGAGTTATTTGAATTAATAATGCCTTCCTATTAACTCAAATGAGCCTGACTATTCTCCTTTGACCCCTGAAATCAATAAGACATTTTCACCCAGAGAACTGCAGCTCATTGGATATTTTTTATTTTTCAGACCATTCTCTGTAAACCCTTAAGACAGTTTAATGGGAATAAATCCAAGGAGATCAGCATCTTTGAAACAAACAATATCACGTTCAAAGTCACTTAAATCACATCTCTTCCACATTGTGATGCTCGGTTTGAACTTAAGGAGGTCGCCTTGATCATATCTACATCCCTAAATGCATTGAGTCACTTCCATGTGATTGGCTGATTAGATATTTGTGAACCCTTAATAAGGTGGTTAATGAGTGCATTTGAATATGAACATCTGTCAACCTATAATATAAAAAAGTTATATGAAGTCTTCTTTAAAAACATGATGCAGACATTTATCTCAAATCTTTGCAGATGTAAAACCACAAACCATGCGAAATAAAACTGGGTGTTGTTGTATATTGTATAGTTTTCTGTTGCATTAAATGACGTGTCCCATTCCCACTTGCGTTGTGAACCATGCATGAAATGGCTCAATATTTATTTTGTTGTTTGTTTATATCTACAGTATGCCATTTTTAAGGAAAAATGTCAGCGGAGGAGCGATCGCCTGTGACATTTGAGAGTTCATGAGCTGTAAAATTTCCAAGCTGAACACAGTAACTTGTGCGCTTCAGTGTACTGCAGAGAAACATTAAGCCACATTTATTGGCTGTTTTTTTATCCCATTATTAAAACTGTGAGATATCACACATTGTGTGTGCAGTAATGTGAGGTAGTGAAGTGTTGATTGCTTGTGTACAGCTGTGCAGTGTATCAGTTACATTCAGCAGATATTTGTTGCTTCAGAGTAACGTGTTTGAAGATGAACCCAACAGCCTTCTTTTTCTTTTGATGTATTGCTGCAGCCATTAAAAGCAACCAAAAGTTGTTGTTTCATTTCTTTTATTTGGACGAATATTCAATTAAATTTTTATTTTGTGACTAATTTTTAGTTACGAAATATAACCTCAACTGCTCTGTGTCGTCCTTTGTCGGAGTAAGAATGTCAATCCCAACAAAAATTAATGTACAGTGATAAAATTGTGAAGAATAAACAAACATAAAATGGCCTTATTAGTCCAGCATCAACTTAGAAATATCGGATGCCTTGTTTCTCAACATTTTTGCTGTATTAATATCTCCAGTTTTCCTTTTTAAGCAACCTTTTTTTTGCATTTCGTTAAACCTAAATAAATATAAAACCTGGGGATGAGTTCGTTCGTATCGCAGTACAAAGTCTTTCACTGAGCTGCTTGTGTGACCTTTTCCTAACGAGCGACTCGACCGAACGGAGCTCAGAACTGAGACACAAAATCATCTTGTTGGTAATAATTTTATTTATTTGCTTGATTGAGGTTTTTTGTAATCTCTGAATGAATCAGCAACGAATTAAGGCCTAATTTTATATCAGGAGTCTGATGGTAAGTGCTGAATTTCAAACTGAGCAGCAGGAGACTCATTATAACGCACACCTTTACAAATCAGCGTTACATACTATATACAGCCCTTACAAAGCCTTTCCTGAAGGCTAAGGTTTTCCTTTGCCGTCTCGGTAAAGACACGTCAAGTTAAATCTGTTCCAACAAGTTCTTTCAGGTCTTTGCAGAGGTGACCTTTCAGAGTGACATTTGAAGTCAGAAAATTAATTCCCTCTGAGCAACATCAGCCACAAAACACACTCTAACCCTCAGTTATTTGGATCCTTTACTGCAGCTGCTGTTTTCCTTCAGTATATTTTGTTTTTATTTTTCTGCCCCTCATTATTAAACTCTTATTCTGAGCCACAGCATGTGCAAGTACACAAATGTATCATTTGCACGCAGCTCAGTCGTAATCAAGCATAAAACAGTTTGTCTCCAGAAGCTTTGTTCTCTTCAGGATGGTGTCTGAGGTGCGTCTTGTGACATAAATACACTCACCGCCCACTTTATTTTTCAACTGCTCTTTAACAGAAATATCTAATGAACCAATCACATTGTAGCAAATCAGTACATTTATCCATGTAGGAATGGTCAAGATGCCATGTTGAATTTCCAGCTGAGAGTTTACAGAGAATTGAATGAAAAAGATAAAATATCCACGGAGCAGCAGTTCTCTTGGGGAAAATGTCTCGGTGATGTCAGAGGTCAGGGGAGAATAATCAGACTGTTTCAAGCTGATAGGAAGGCAACAGTGACTCAGAGAAGACAAAGAAATGCAGAACATCCTTGAATCCGCAGTGAAATGTAGCAGACGAGCAACAGCAGCAGGAGAACACATCAGGCTAGAATTGATACAAGATCATCAAAACTAGACAACAGAAGATTTAAAAAATGTTTCCTGGTCTGATGGGAATTCTGCTGCAACATTCAGATGATGTATCATTGATTAAGGTTGCTGGGGATGTATTGGTGCGCGGATATTTTCTTGGGCCTGTTGGTACCAACATCATGCACCATTTCTGAGTATTGTTGTCCAAGATAAGGACAATGCCAGACAGTATCTCCCAGCCACTCTATGAGGTCCAGTCACAGGAGCACATTCAGTGAAAGACTTGGATTACCCTAAATGCACCACTGACCGACACAGGAAATCATTTCTGCCTGTGGCTAACTTGCAGTACAATTCCTCCATCTAAAGCACTCAAATACACACCGCAGCACATCCTCTACAGAAAAAATAAAGCCAACATGATATGAAGCACCTCAACTTCAACTATTTAATTAGGTGTAATATACTGGAAAATGTATAACTACAGTGTTTTGTGTTTATTCGGGCTATTTTGTTATATTTTGTAACCTTGTAACATATTGTATTATTTGATTTAGTTCAGTTAGTTACTGTTCTAGTTTTTTGAACATGACGACAGGTTCACTGTGACCAAACAGTTTCTACAGTCACCAGCTCGCAATCCAGCAGAGCATCTATTAGATGTGGTGTAATGCAAGACTTATGTCATGGATGCGCAGTCGACGAATCAGCAGCGGCTGTGTGATGCTATCATATCAACACTGACCAAACTGTATGAGGAATGTTTCAGGCGCCTTTTTGAATCACACAAAGAATTAAAGCAGTTATAAAGCATCCTGTGAGGTGCTCAGAAACGCTCAGTCTTACTCTGTGTGATGTCAGAGAGATGATGTGTGATGGCCACCTCAGTCCATGTACTAACGGTACTATGAAAGATTCCACAAATAAAATCATAGAAATATGAACAAAACAGGCCAAATTTAAAGTTTACAAAACCATTAGAAACATTTATGAGAAAAAGAATTTTAACATAAGATTTGGGGGGTTTTTTTATTTTCAAAACTTGCCACCTGCATTACCCGGAATGCAACTCTAACATTAGTGGTGTGAATTCTCCTGTGTTGCACTCATAGGCACGCAGTCTGTGGTTGCTACAAAGCTACAAAAAGGTCTGATCTGCAGTTTTCACCCCCAGCTGACGCTTATTCAAATGACATCCACAAAGCTTCCTGTGGAGCTACAGTTTTTATACAACTTATTTTTTTAATATATGCACAAGTACTCCCAAACATAAAAGACTTTGATGTGTAAAATTGGCGATGTTCAACTTTAAAAACATTTTGGAATCATGTAAAATTCATGAGCGCTAAAAAGAAAGTACAAAAATACAAAAACCCAATTCATTAAAGTCCCTGCAGGATGAACAGAGCTTATCCTGAAGCGTCCCTCCCTTGTATCCAAAAGATTTCATTAGCAGTTCTCAGAAAGCTGTTATTATAATACTAAAAGCATCTGAATTATGAAGCTATGGATGAAAACTCTGAATGTGGACGCCTTCTTCTTAAATGGCGAAGCAAAAAAAAAAAAAAAAGCAACAAAGGACGGCAGAGATGTGTCATTGGTAGAGGAGGAAGTCCTTGATACTGTGAGGGACAAAGAGGCTCGAGGCCCTGTGCAGACGACTCTTTCCGAGACTTCGACGAATACGTAAGCGACAGAGCTGAGACAGTGAGCAGGGACCTGGGAACAGGAGACAGATCACAGCTGTTAATAAAAGGAAGTGAGGGTCCTCTATGTAAGTGCAAAAAGGTCAAAAGTCAAGGTCAAAGTCAAAGTTATTTATATAGGACATTTCCAGACAGACGATGCTCAAAGTGCTTAACAATATAAAAATGCCATTAAAAAGAAACAATGTAAAACAATAATAACAATATGAAACAATGACAGGACAATAACACACCTCTGCTCAGCAGTGCAGCTCTCACTGAGCTGTTTGGCTTCGACAGATCAAGAGGAGTCTTCGCCTCGGCGTTCCTGCGACATCCATCAGCTCCAAAGTCCAGGAGAAGATGCACAACGTCAGCGCCTCCCCCCAAAACTGCAGCATGCAGAGGACTGTCCGGCCCGCATCCGATCTGAACATCTGCTCCTGCTCAAACATGCAAACAGAGTTCAACACCTAACAGCACGCAAATCACACAATTCTGATTAAAACCCATCCGTGTGTTGCAAGTGATTTATTGTTAAAGCAGCATGTTGTTATATATTAGCTACTAATGAAAAGGTTTTCAAAAATAAATCCAAAGCACAGCTCTGAATAGTTTTGAGACTGGCTGTCACGTCTGACAGGTTGGATTGATTAGAAAAGCTTTTAAACGTGTGCTGATGTGAACTGTGACACCGAGTTTCTGCTTCGATGGAGAGTGAAAGAGAGAAACTGCAGAGCGTGCCACTAAAAGTAACTCAGAGCCCAGCAGGAACAAAAAATGTCAGCTGTATTTTAATATTATATGGCTGGAACGAACGGTTCTCTCCTCTGTTGGATCACCTTTGCTCAGCGATTATCGTTTCAAACGTGCAAAATCCAAGACAGACGTGTTAAATGTCAACTGACACCTTCAAGTGCCTCGGTTTGTCTGATAAGCAGAGCCAAACTCGAAGACATGCAGTCTAATTTGAGCATTTAAGTCCCAAAGATGAAAGGCGGCACAGAAGAAAAGCTTCACAACAAAGTTATGTCAAAGGACGAAATCCTCTCGTTTCAGAAAACACTAAATGAAATAATTAACTAATCATTGCAACTCTGACTCAGTTTAAAAATCAAGAAGTTGCTTTTTTAAATCTGATTCTTTCTTTCTTTCACAAATGTATACGCCAAATAAAAGAGCTGTTACTGTGTTTGCTGAAACAACTGTTTGATAGACTGGTTTGTGTAATTAAAAGAGTGGAGTTTTTCATTTATAAAAAACCTTCAGACTATTATACAGACTGGGCCTTGAAGTGCCTTAATTTTCATGACTGAAACAAACAAAAAGCAAAAGGTGTGACTGGTGAATATTCCTGACTTATATTACCTGAATAGAGCAGCACCTCTACGCAGGCTGCGGCCCGTGCCATGCAGGCAGAGTAGAGCGGCGTCCCAACGTCAGGCAGCTCCAGATCAATCTGAGCTCCACGGGACAGCAGCAGCTCCAGGCACTCTCTGTGATCTAGAGGAGAAGATGATAAATGCTGACATGTAGTCCACATTCATAACCAGAAATTTCTTGCAAATGGATACATTTGTGTACCTTTCTTGGCAGCCTCATGGATTGGAGATGCCAGCTGGTAGGTGGTGTGGATGGAGGCACTGTGCTGCAGGATGAGCTTGAGGCAGGCAGCGCTCCCGCTGCTGCAGGAATTGAAGAGAGGTGTGGCGCCATCTGTTGACACTGCCATTGCCTTGAGAATGATGTTTGTGAGGAAATGCATCCAAAAGAACTGAGTGTACCTCATTTATTTATTCATGCATGTGACACAAACATACACAAATGCTCAAACAGAGCAAACACACGAGACAACCAACAACTGAAGGCCTCTTTGCATGCAGATTTCAGCTCTGACCTTTCTCCAGGAAAATCTAAACTCTTCAGCAAAAACACCAGATGTGGCTTAAAACGTGTGAAGACAAAAATCTGTGTTAAAGCAGGAGAATCTGTGAGTTCGCAAATGAGCTCAGCTCTTTTTGAACTGCACAATTTCAGGCATCCTGTAGTGAACTTTACAGGAAAGTGAGTACGATGCTCAAACCAATCAAATCAAGCAACTGAGATGTGACTGAGGTGCAGATTTTTTCAGCTGTAAATTAATTGGTTTACCAAAAGAACTGCATTAACTATTTAAAAATTACAGCCATTTTTAGAACATCCATCCATCCATGAGGTTATTGGGGTACTTACACATAAGCCCTCACTAATATTCTGATTATTTAGCTGGACAAGCTAATATAATTTTAAATATAGAGGTTGTTTTTAAATACTTGAAGGCCTAAAGTCCATTTGCTGGGTTTACTCTCTTGTGACACAAGCCAAAGTCTTTTATATCAATTTTACAATGATAAAACGAATTGTTAGATTCCCTCCAACCCCAGTGTTTTATTAGTGTATGTGAAGTTTAGGTTTGAGTTTCAATCCATCAAATACTTTTCAAATCAAGTGAAGGGATCCGCTTTCACATATAATCAATGCAATGAGACGGTACATAAATTCTTATCACTAAATACAAAATATCAGATAAAGTAATTCATCTTATGAGTGCAAAAATAATCTTTATTTGGAAAAAAAAAAAGACTTTAAATGCCTGCATTTCCAACCCAAATTCTCTCAATTTAATCTATTTTTTAAAGATGTAGCCTTTTCTGTAACCTCTTTAGGGCGCATCTGTACATAATTTCAAAGTTTTGAGGTTCTGAAACGTGTTTGAGACCATGCTAGCACAACAAAGGAGGGTTTACGATATGACGTTCTTATACTTGTGTGGGTTTTTCTTTCATTTTTTTTTATGAAACCTTAATGCTAGACAAGTTAAACAGAATCATTTTTCAAGTCTTTGTTTGTCTAAGAAAGAAATACCAAGAGTGAGCGATGACCTAATTATCTCACGTCACATAAATCAAATGTATGCCTGGCCTCACATTTGTTTTGGACAATAGCCAAATGATCTATAATCTCCATCAGGCATCAAGTTCAAAAAGGATAAGCAAAATAAAACTTGTGGGGTTTTTTGATGACAGAAAAACTTATCTGTTCCTTCTTACATTTGCTCCATTATCCAGAAGAAACTTGGCACAAGCGTAACGACCCCCGAGGCAAGCCTCGTGGAGCGGCGTGACCCCGTCCATGGTGACTGTGTCAACATGGAAGCCCTGCAGGGAGAGATCAGAGGATTTTCATACAACTTCTTTTCAAGAAGTCTTCAGGTTGTAGACTGTAAGTACTCGATGTACAAATCAAGATTTAAGGTCACCTGAGCGATAAGGGCCCTGAGGTGGAGGAGTCTGCCCTGAAAGGCCGCTTCATGGAGCGGAGTTCTGTCAGACCAGAAGTCTGAGACACAGAGAATCAAATTAGTTATGTTTCCACATTCAGAAAGCACAAAGACCACGACCACTGTAACCTCATCCACATACATACACACTTCTGGTTTCTCAACATGACCCCCAACCCTAAAATGCTAAACCGGTTTCATCCCAGATTTTATTGTCTACAGCAGCATCAGACTTCACATGGAAAGCTTTTAGGCCTGAAACACTGTGATGCAAAAAAAAACATACAAACATTAAACTCACCAGCCATCAGCGAGTTACACACCAACCCTCCGTAGATGGACAAAGGCCTCTCCCAAGGTTGCGACCACAGGGAAACGTCTGTTTGCACAGCAGCCATGATGAAAATGAAACAGCAGCAGATTCCTTCACCCAGCCAGATACACAAACCTGAATCCGGCCTTCCTCACTCTCTTATCTGGGCCCTTGGTCACCTCCCCCACATTACCACTTTCCACCCACTCTCACCCCAGTGCATGGCCAGAGTTAACGGTATGTGCATTACATTACAATAGCTGCTAGAATGATCTTGAGGTGTCTTCAACAAAGCACTTAAAGATACACAGACCAGGACAAGCCCCATAAGACTCTTAAATATATTATTGCCACATGAACTAGATGAAATGCCCTAAACCAGGGGTCCCCAATCTCAGTCCACGAGGGCCGGTGTCCCTGCAGGTTTTAGATGTCTCCTTGATCCATCACAGCTGATTTAAATGGATAAATTACCTTCTCAACATGTCTTGAATTTCTCCAGAGGCCTGGTAATGAACTAATCATGTAATTCAGGTGTGTTGACCCAGGGTGAGATCTAAAACCTGCAGGGACACCGGCCCTCGTGAACTGGGATTGGGGACCCCTGCCTTAAACTAACAAAAAAAGTTCCTAGCTCCAACAGAAACATTTTGTCTTAACATTGAACACACTTCTTGATATGATGTTTGTTTCTGTCTTGCAAATCCCCGTCGCTGACCCTGAAGAGCGACACCTCCTTATCAGCTCCTTTTTCACAAGGCTGTGATTTTTTTTGGCACTCTTCCTTACAATCAGATTCGTCTACAAAATAAATATTTGTTTGATGCCTCTCCAGGATGAGAACATAGCACATACCATATATATTAGAAAGTACGCTTTAGTTCCCACGTTGGGTTTTCTAAAAGTTTACTTATCATTTGAAGAAAAGAAAAAAAAAAAAGCTTGCAGGTTTCAAAGGAGTGGCAATCACGAAAGCTACTTTTAGACGCTTCCTCATTCACAAAGGCACCGCAGCAGGTAGGAGTGTGTACACCGCTGCACTACGGAGCCATGGCATTCATGATAAACAAACATGCTCTGACACGCTTCACAAAACAGTGGATTTTATTTAAAAAACAAACTTTGAGGTCTCTCGATAAGTAAGTTACAGTAGCTTTGTTTCCCTGTGAGCTTACAAACAGCCAGCCCTTTACCCCCTATGTTCAAAATCTTTACATTTTCAAAAAGTGCTTATAAATTCTCAAGGTGTGCAACAAATTCCAGTTATTTAAAAAAGTCTCTTCCACCAACTCCCTTTTGGTGAGTAAATGTAAACAAAATGTTAGCCCACACCATGAAGATCACATACGAAACTTATATAAGCAGTTTGAAGAGAGGCAGAGGTGCTGAGAGGTCACTGTCATCAACTTTCTGTTTCTGTTGCTCTCTCCGTGGCACATCAGGAGTAAGCCTCATTTTTATGGCTCTTTTCCTGTCTCCACTGTCGCTGAGGGCCTGTGGCGTCGACGGCGAGATCCATGACCCCATCTGGCATCAGCCACTGCAGGAGCAGCAGGAAGAGGAAGTCCAGCACAGCCACAAACGCAAAGATGGAGCCAGCGACGGGGCCGCAGTGAGCCCTCAGCCTCCGTAACCGTCTGTCCAGGGGAAGAACTTCCTCTCCGACCACCCTGTCGTACACCTGACAGGGAAAAAACACATTGATCACCTTAGTATCCTTCAATAGTTAAACATGTAAAAACCACCACCTAGCCATAAACCGGAATACATTTTTTTAGGATTAGATTTGGATTTGTTTTAGAAATTCTAAAAACTGAAATAGACTTTTGTTGTTGTTGTTTTGCTGTGTTTATTTTTTTAAAATGCTGTGAAAGAAGAAGAAAAAATGGCTGATTACAGAAACTTCTGTATGTTAAAAACCATACTGGCTATTTGAATACAAGTTTTGAGAGTTCACAGGGTGTACCTGAATGTGCCGTGATGTTTCACAGGCCGGGCTCTGCTTACAAATTGACATTGACTTCAGAGTGCACTTTAACACACTGCTAGCTTATTTTTTTTTAAGGTATGCCATTGTTTAACAGAGCCAAATGCCAAGCACTTTGAAAATAGCAAAAAACAAAACACAACTGTCAGGTCTAGCTGCCTTGCATGACTGTCGAGCTTGAGAAAGAGAGAGAGTTTCATACAGGAATTTGCACACAGATGAGGTTTTCCTGTACCTTTCAAGAGCATATTTGGTAGAGTGGTTGCACCGGCACAAAAATAACCATAAGAAATAATTAATGAATGAGCAAAGCTCAGCTCCAGGTTAGATGTGTTTGAGCATGTTGTACAATTAAAGAAAAAAAGGACACTCAAGATAAATTTGATGTGCCTCAGCTTTTTATCTCTTACCTCACACGTTTCTAAGCATGAAGCAAGAGAGAGAGTTTTTTGGAAATCAGATACCGTGGGAAATGTTTAGAGAAAACAAGTTTACGCAAAGTCTGGTAATCTGGATGCCTTATCTGATGGTGCAGTCGTCCAATGACTTATCTGATCAAGATTCAGAGTAGTTGCTGTTTTCAATTTATGAAAATGTCCTTGTGATGAAAGGGCACAGCTGTGTCTTTTATTTTCCACAATAAAATGTTATGCTTTGATAGCATTTTCTTCAAAAATGTAAAACAAGCTGTTACATGCACACGATCCAGTGTGGGTGTCTTTGGTGAACCTACTTTCTCGGTCCTCTCCGCAACATTCCTCCAGGTGTAGAGGTTTCTCACACGCACGTGAATGGAAGCAGGCGACGGGACGTTGCCCGATCGTTGCAGAGCGATGACCGCTTCCAGACCGGCGCACAATGAACGGACGGTGGGTTCACACAGGGTAATCAAATCCTCAGGTAACACCTCTGGAATGCCTCCCACACGAGTGCTAACCACCTAAGAAAACAGAGACAAAAAACAGATGCTGACAAACAAATACACACACGCACACACACACAAAAGAGAGAACAGAAAAACAGAAGTTTTCCCAAAGTATAAAATATGTCCTGGAATGATTATTAGCAAAATTCCACTGTGTGTGTTTGGCCTCAAGCTAAATCTAGCACTGCAGCTCTCTGTGGACACCTGAAAAAGGAAGCTCTGCTGTACCTGGAACCTCAAACAGTGATGTCAGGGTGTACCCACTTTCATATCACTATGGTAACGTGACAATTTTAATCAAAGATGTACAAAGTTATAAAGATTAGAAGTCATGGAAAATGAAATGCATTGGCTAGCAACTTTATTAGGTACACCTGTTTAGCTGCTTGTTATAGCAAATATCTGATCAGCCAAAAGGAAGAAAATATTCCATGCTCCGGAGTTCTCTGGGAGAAAATGCCTTGTTGATGTCAGAGGACCTCTATCCTGCCTTGCATCAACAGTGCAGACTAATGTCGGGGTATTTTCTTGGCACACTTCAGGCCCCTGAGGATCAGCTGAGCACTGATCTTAACTGAGTACTGTTGGTAATCATGTCAATTACTTCATGACCACAGCATGCCCACCTTATCATGGGTGCTTCCAGTAGGATAACACACAGTGTCACAAAGCTCAAATCATCTCAAACTGGTTTCTTGAACATCACAATTAGCTCAAGTGGACTGAGCTTTGAGATTTAAAGAAAAGGGAGGTTCCCATTGTGGATGTGCAGCTGTCTGATGCTATCATGACAGCTGCACATCCACCATCCATTTCTGTGCTATGAAAAATTTAGGCAGTTCTGAAGGCAAAACAGTGTCTAACCCTGTACCTGCGAGGTGTACCTAATAAAGTGTCTGGTAAGTTTATATGACAGCAATCAACATCCAAAAGCTTCCCAAATAAACTCCACTTTACTGGAATATTACTAACAAAATAAAGTTAGAGTAAAGAATTCAATGTTTACAAACTGAATTGTCTTTAAAAACATTTTTATTGATAGATTAATTATTGATTGAGCTCAAGGTGTTAAAGATAAATGTGTATATAGGTCTTTTTGTAAATATACACATCCACCAGCATTCACACTTTACACTATAAGTCGCTGCATTGTGCTTGTCTCCTTTCTTGCCCTGTGTTATGGCACAGTTCAACTTATGTTCAACTTTATGTCCAACCTGCGTGTCCCAGTAAATCACAGATAAAGAGTGGTTACTCGATGCGTCTTCCCATTAGCAATTATTTTTTGTGTAATCTCTGTACGCATATCTGTGTAAGAATCTGCAGAAAAGGGTATAACTCATCATACAGTCTGACAAAGAAAGTTCAAAAGGGTATTACGTTATTAAATGCCACCTGCGTGTGTTTCCCCGTTTTTTTCCCCCATAGTTATGAAACCTGAGGATTCCCTCTAGTAGGAATGAATAACAAACGGGCCTGTTTGTTAGCTCGAAGGCATTTTCATCCCAAAAGAAATTAAGCTCCCAACGTAATTTCTTTTGGAAATAACCTGGAGGTAAGAGGATTCTCTCATGGATTCTCAGGTTACTTTTTTCCATCTGTAGGTCTAACGTCACGAAATAACAAGAATGACATTTCCAGTTTCTGTTCCTCCAGCAATAAACCACATTAAGTTCCACTGTGATGCGGTTAGCTGCTGTCTGGCATTTGCCGCTCTTACATAAAGGTCTATCCTCCCTCTCCCACGTCTCCCTCATGTACTTCAGTTTTTTTAAGCAGCGGTATGAGATGAGCTGCACACGCCCATGGCGAATCTGCCACAAGAACACTTCACCATCTTCAACTGAGTTGTGCCGGCTCCGCGTGGCCGAATGGGCTTTCACAGAGCTGCTTCTGTGATCTGAAAGTGCCTCGTCTTGATAAAGTCTAATTTTCATTATTACATTATTATATATTCTATAAAAAACTAAAAGTTTATCTGCATTTTTTTGCTTAGATTTGTGACATGAACTGAGCTTAAGGTCTAAAGATTCAGTGTTAGATCTGTCGCCCCTCGGATGACTACTGGGGGCAACTTAGGTCACATATTGGCCTGTTTCCAATAAAATGACTGGCTGTGCATCAGAAGATGTCATTATCTTAAGAGATTGGCACGCTAAATGGTGAGTAAACG